GTTTGCAAATGTGATTAAAGCTCCTGATCCACTGAATTTACGTTAATCCAAAGAAGATCCTGATGTAATCAGAGGTGTAGAGGTCAGAGACAGGAGAAGTGGCCGAGATGCCACTCTGTGGCCTCAAACAAGCAAGCTGCCATGTGGTCAGGGGGCCACGCGGCAGGAAGAGCAGGTGGCCTTCGGGAGCTGAGGGCCTCCGTTCTAGAGCTTCGAGGATGAGAATTCTACCAACAACCCTTGGGTTCTCGCCCAAGCTCCAGGTGAAAATGCAGCCTCGTGAGACCCCAGGTGCAGAATCAGCTAAGCGAGGCCCGGGCTACTGACCTGTGGAAACTGTCAGACTCTGACGTCTGTCTCCAAGGCCCATGTGCAGAGCGGCTCCAGGGTAATCCCCATAATCCCCGGATGAAGTAGCCAGTCAGCTCAAGGAGCTTCTGCCAACCCATTTTCTGGAGCGCTTCACCATCTTACACTGCCCTCACTGTGTGTGAGAATTCTCGTTGCTCCACTTCCTACCCCCCTCGTGCATCCCCATGCTCTCCTCGCCAGGTGCCAGGGGCCCCCCAGGAGGGAAGGGCAAGCACCCTGCCAGCCCCTAGAGACCTTCAGCTGGAGTTAGCCCCTCTCCGAGGAGGCTCTGCTTTGCGTCTCATGTAAGCCCACTCAGTCACATACAATACTGATTTGATCCTGCTGTTTTGTGGATTAAAAACTGAGACAGAGATATACTAAGTTCCTTGCTCAGTAGAATTGGGCTTGAGGTCACATCAGACATCAAGGACAGTTCTGCAACAAGAGAATTAGGGGCCTCCTGAGTAGACATCAGGCCCTGACCTAGTACTTGAGGGTGGCAAGGATTGGGGTGACTTGAAAAAGAAGCCAGGGCTTGTGCTCTTCCAGACAGGCCGTCTACATAGGACCATATGAAAAAAATGGAACTTCTTCCTGCAGAAAGCCTTCCCTGATTTACTCTATCTGAGAAACTGAAACGTCAAACTGGAAGGCCCATCGCCAGGGAGCCCCAGGAGCTGTCACACTGGACAGAGGGCAATTCCACGCCCCCCTCCCCCCTCACTGCTGACATCTCCAGGACAGCCTTGCTTTGCTCTTCCAATGGCTTGGGGTTCAGGTCTTCCTCAGAGTCCATGACACAAACCGGCATCCTCCCAATAAATCCCTCTTTGTGCCAAAGCTACTTCAGTTTAGTCTCTTGTTCACAGTAGAGAGAATCTGAACTGAGCTAACCGTGGAGCAGGCAGGAGGCCTAGCTCCAGCCCTTCGTTTTCGGGTGGGAGAACAGAAGGCCAAAGTCGGGAGGCTGGTGGTCCTGCATCTCTCACCGGTGGAGGGTGACAGAGCTTGGACCAGACCTCAGCGCCAGACTCCCCGTGCACAGTCCAACATGCACAGTGTCAACTCTGAGAATCACAGCAGGGCTCCCAACACGTGCCTCCCCCAGCAGCAGGCAGCTCATGCTGGGAGTCGGGTCAGGCAAATGAGAGGAACACGGTGTGAGGGAGATCTGGGGAAGAGGCAGGTAGTAGTCAAGTGCAGCATGGAGTATTGTACTGAGAAATCTGCATTGCTTTTTCAAACTAAGCCCTGCTCTAACTGGCATAAGGAGTTATTCACAAGTTATGGAACTTAATCAAGACTTGAATGATGAAATTAATAAAGAAGAGGCATCTGGCTTATGACAGGCACAGGTGTGTAGGTTGGGTCTCAGGTCTGCATAGCAAATTCAGCATCTGTTGGTGTGAACACCTTGGCGTGTGTCACCAGGTGGCATCCTCACAAAAAGGGTTGATGAGTCTTCCCACCGCCAAGCAGGGGGGAAATAGCACGGCAGGTTAGAACTTGAGGATGATTTTTATGTTTGCTACCAACTCCAGAAGATATCCCAGTTTGTTTGTTTTCCCCTTTGGAACTGGAACTTGGCCTCATGGACTTTTGCTTGGCATGTAGGGCATTTGGGTAGGGCCTGGTGGTCTTGAAGTTTAGTTGGGATGGGCGGTGGTGATGGATTGGGTTCGGTGCCACCTCTCTACCCCCATCCCAGGGCAACCAGTCAGAGGTCCTTCCCCAAGAATGAACACGGGACACACATCGGGCCAGAACCCTAGCAGAGAGTTGCCATATGAGCGCTGCACTTACGGGCTCAGGGTGAGACCTTCTCGCTGCACACCTTCAGGGGGCACCAATCACAGTGTGTTCTACATCACACTCAGCTCAGAGGGGATCCAAGCCTGAGTCCCAGAGGAAGAAGCTGTGGGAAGGAAGCGCTTACCAAAATGTCAAGTCTACACCATGTAGGGCAAAAAAGGCTTCTGTGGTGCAGAGAAGCCAGGCAGGAAGGGGGCTGCAGCCAAGCAGGTGGGCACTGCCCAGGCACGTTGCCTCCCAGACCACCTGCATTCCCTCCCAGGGAGCCTGATACCCTCAGCTGAGCCAGGAGCCTGGCCGCATGGCTACTGCCAGCCAAGGAACCCCCTCTGTACTTCAGACAGCCTCCAGGACAGACCCGGCTCCCTGCGGGGGTGTCCCAGCGCCACCCTCCCACACAAGTCTTCGTGGGCTCCCCTGTCATGGGTCTGCTGTGCAGAAGGGGGCTCCATGGAAGGGAGACAATCAGAGCACCAGAGCTTGGTGGCCGGAGGGGAGGCATTCTTATTACCCAGAGGGGGCAAAGGCTAAAAAGGCTGGAATAAGTGTCTTCTGGGAGGCCAGGGTCCCTGGGGTGGGGGTGGGATGGGGGGGCGCAGAGCAATCTCTTCTGGGGAAAGAGAGGTCAGGTCAGAGATGAGGCGCTGAACCCAAATCCCTGCCCACTGTTTGGTCATCAGTGCCCCTGTGCCATGCTCAGCGCTCCAGAGTTACCCATGTAACTAGGCTGGCTCAGCCCGAAGACTCTGAGGCAAGTCACGTTTGTGTCTCCTTTAGCCCCCAGCACAGACACGGAGTCATTCTCCCTCTCTCGCGCTTCCCCTCCAAGGCACGTCAAAGCTGCGCGGGCTGGCTCTGACTGAGGGCTGGCTCTGGCCTCACCTGCTTACCTCATGCTGCTGGCCCCGAGGCTCTGCTTTCCCCTGCCCTGTTCCTGGCTCCCAGTCCCTGGCCACCCCGGGGCAGCCAGGCCCGGCCAAGACCGGGCTGTTTTGGAAAAGTGCTGGGAGGCGGCAGAATGTGCGGTCTGTGAGTTCCCTCCAAGCTGGCGCCCCGATCCCTGGACAAACAGCAGCCGTGTTTGCCTGTCCACAGCAGCCTGCGTTCTCCTTCCAGGCCGGGAGATCCCGGGGGCAGGCGGCTGTGTGGGGGACCTCGGGGTGGAGGTGGAGAGGCACAGGCAGACCAGGCGAGGACAGCCCAGCCACCCCCCTGGCGGCGCCCTCCCGCCCCGTGGCGGGGTGGTCAGACTGAGGGCAGCCCGAGGCCCACACTGCCTTCACCTCTGCTGCCACAGGGGACCCTCCCCCAGGAGACATGGAATTGACACTTTGAAAAACCACGACCCTCTGCTGGCATGGCTCCTGGTGGAAGCTGGGGGTGTTCACTGCCGCTCCTGACTGACCCTCGAGACCTCTGTGGGAGGGAGCCCCACGAAGCCATGTTCCGGGTGATTCTGGGTCAGGGACTACCCTACCCTTTGCTTCTGTGTGGCCATGGGAGAGTCGCTGCCACTCGAAGACTCTGCTTTAGCTTATGGAAAACAGGGGACTCCCCCTGCTCTCCCCCTCCCCAGGTGGAGGTTAAGACTCGGGGAGGGCAGACCTCAGCCCAGCGGGGAAGGGCGAGGGAAGAGCAAGACGGATGGCCTGGGGCAAAGGATGCAGCGGACAGGGCTTGCTGAGCGTCCTGCCCTGGCGGCGGCGGCGTGGTTCAGGAGATGTTGGTGACTCTTTTCAGGGTGGCCAGGCTCTGTGCCCATGTAGCCAGGTGGGGAGGGGCCCTGCATCCCTGTCTGGGCCTGAGGACTCTGAACTGAAGCTGGGTCTAACTCACGGGATCCAAAAAACCCCAAACAAACAAATAAACAACGCTGCAGCCGCAAAAAAAAAAAAAAAAAAGCCTTTCTCAGGCCAACTGGGAAGGAGGGGGTCCCTCCCCAGACTGTGGGGAGGGGACCGGGCACTGCCGAGGGCGGGACCAGCCTGGGCACTGTGAGGCCCTCTCTCCCCACCCCTGGCCCCTCAGTCCTGGAAACCACCCTGGATGGTCCTTGTCCCTGCACCGGATGTCATGCCCTTCGCTGGCCTTACCTCTGGCCTCTGTGAGCCAGACTGCAGAGCACCTTTTCACAGAGTGTGATAAACAGGAAAGAGGACATGGGTTCGGTCGTCAAATGGGCTTGGGGAGCTCCACGACTTGTGTCTACACCGTGCAGCCCCTGGGCGCTCCCATCCTCGGGCTCAAGGTCCTGGGAAGTCCTGTGGTGAAGGAAGCTGCCCAGCTCTACTTAAGCCTTTTCCCAAACTTATTTGATCAGGGAACCTATTTGCTCCTGCAACACCCATGTAATAGGCTTTGAGAAGTGCCTCATGGAGCATGAGGCTAGAAGTCAGGAGAACTGGACTCTGCTCCCCAATTGGCCACGTGGCTATGGATATCAGTGTCCTTGCTCAAGTAAACAAGATGGACTCTGAGGACAGGCCCTCAGCACTGGGTCACCTCATCCAGCACCTAGCCGCCTGGCCTAGCTAGTCATGGCCACCCTGGGCTAGCGGAGCCGGTTCCCAGCTGCCCCATCCCCCAACAGGTCTCGGGGCCCAGTGGCCAGACAGTTACACGCCGCCTCCCACCCACCCAGGGGAACCTACTACTCGCAGGGCACTGCCACGGACTTCTCTGCGTCTACGCACAAGGAACGGTGGGTGTGTCTCATAGGACAAGCCTTGTGGGGAAGAATTTCCTGCCTGACAGGTGGCCATCGCGGAAGGGAATGCGGGTGGCCGGGAGGCCCCTTACAGTGATGCGCAGAAGACAGAAACCAGACAGCCAAACAAGGGTGAGTCCCCACGGTTTATTATGGAAGCCTATAAAAGAGCCAGGTTGAGTATTTCCAAAATCACAAAATGCACAACATTCATTTTTTTTTAATATGCAACATGGAATATTATATACAGATTAAAACCACATGACAGCCAAAACACTCACACGGCACCAGTTTCATATCAAAACAAAACACACAAGTGCTTTTTCAATATTAAAACAACTGTGATAAAAACATATTAATATTTTGAACCATGTTTACAATAGAGAAAAAAATTCATATTTTACTAAATAACAAATATTTAACAGCAAAAACTTTATACTAAATATCTATTTTGAATTATAACAAAAATAGTACTTATAATAGTTTATAAAGACAGACACAAAATTATAACATTTATGAAAAAAAAAGTTTTGTGTATAAAATAATATTATAGTGATCTGGGCAGGGTCAGAATGGTGCCCAGATCACAAATGCCAGCGCCCAACATCGAAAGTGCTTCAATCTGCAAGCCCGTGGCAGGAAGAGTGTTGTGGGGTTTTTGTCTTTTTAGTGTCAAGTTACACGAGTTAGGAATGGTACGTGAGGAAACGAACCCATCTAACACCACCAATTGTGTGACTGCACACAAACACACAGGCACGGCTGGACAGAGACGAGAGACGGCCACATTTCAACACTGGAGCCTCCTGTCAGCCAGTCAAGAGTCAAGAGCATCTTTCCGTTCTCTTCTTGTTGCCTTTGAGACCCAGCGGGGCAAATAATCCTTCCTTCCTCCTCACAGGGACCCCCTCAGCCTTTCCCTCGGCCCCTCCCAGGCTGGTCACCCCAACAGAAGGTGCCTCCCAGAGCCTGCCAGCCGCCCCCCCTCCCCGCCGCCCCACCAGGGCCAGGCCTGGTGGGCTTCTTGTCTGGAGTAGCACTTACTGCCTTCGTAGATATTCAGTCAAAAAACGATTGATTTAGGGCAGGCTGCGGCAGCTTGAAGGAGCATGAACCCTCCAGACACTGGGCTTTTATTATGGGTAACAAATTCTGGTGCACCAAGCAGCTCTTTTGCAAGCTTTGATGAGTCTTTACACGTTTGCCTGTTTTTCAGAATGTGTGTGTGTGTGTGTGTGTGTGTGTGTGTGTGTTGTACAGGGTGGATTGAGAGGTTTTGCTAATTTTTAAAAAATGTCTTTTTGCCAATGATATCTGTTCTGCACGGATTCTTTAGTAGTGGAAAAGTAGGAACCAAACGAAACACTTGAGAACAGGGGTTACAGAGCAGTCGTCAGGCAGGAGCCCATTCCCCTAAAGCCTACCACGTGGGGGTGTGAGCAGGGTCGGGGGGAGGGGGCTGTGGTCCTCCCACTGAGCACCATGGAGGGGGCCACGCAGCTGCCCACGGTGGTCACTGCTATGGAGAAGGACTGGAGAGTTCGGTATCCTGCACTCTTCTGTGTGTTTTTGATTTTCTTGTGAAGAGGAGTCATTGCTTTTATAACATCAAAAGCCAATAGAGAAACAGAGAAAGCAAAGAAAAATCTGAAAACAGACAAAATCACTTGGAGACTCACCAAAGACCCCCAGATCATCCCCGGGAGGCATCCCAAATTGCCAACACTCAAAATGCCAGTGGCAGGAGCTACTCTTCTTTCCCCCAGTCATCCCCTGACCGGCCAGTTTTCCACCAAATCACTTCTGACAAATCGCACATACCCTCCTCCTCAGCTCTGCAGCGCCCCCGGCAGCTGCCTCGAGACCACAGCAGAGGACCCAAGTCAGTGCAGCCGAAGGGCTGCCTCCTATGCTCACCTCCCCTTGCTTTCATCTTGTGCCCACACCCCTGAGCTGGGCTAAGCAGACAGTGGCATCGAGGTGGGAAGGACTTCAAGGACATCTTTCCAAGGGCAAAGGGCCAAGGGTGAAGGTCAAGGGAGGGACGGCAGAGGCCCTTGCTCCCTGTCAGAAGAAAGAACCCGTATACTTCCCCATGCTCACTAGCAGGAGTGGGGGGGGCACCGGGGTGAACAGTGGCCAAGCAGGAGCTTATGGCGGCCTCCAAATCCTCACATGATCAGGGCTTTTGACAGAGCAGGGAGGGAGGCAGTGGGCCATTTCCCCATCTCCACCGAGGGCAAAGGCAGAGGCACGGGACTTCACCCGGGGAGTGAGGCTCTGAGGATGAGCCCATAGGGGGTCTGGAGCCTAGGAGTGGGGGGTGGGAGACAGCGTCATTCGCAGAAGTCCTGCCCTGGACAGCTGGGACAGAGGCTAGGGGACAGCGAGAGGCTTGTTCCAGTCCCCAGGAACACCAAGATTCGGTTATATCAGTGAATAAATATGGGGGGCTGGGGAGGAGGTGGGGGGGCAGGGGTACAGCCCATGAGCCAAAGGCCTTGGGCGTGTGTGTAACAGGGGAGCAGGATGGGCTCAAGGCTGCCTGGTGGGAAGGTGGGGATGTCAGTGCGCATGCCCAGGGCCACCAGGGAGGATGCTGGGAGGACAGGGCCTGGGGCTCCTTTGCCCCAAGGTCAGAAGAGAGAAAAAGTAGCAGCAATAGGTAATTTCAAATGTCCAAACGGGCAAAAGGGTGGGGCCCCTTCAGGCTGCTTGCAGCCCCCCACCCCACCAAAGGGAACTTGTGTTCTATTACCCAGGATGCTGTTCTTTGACGGCCACACAAGGAGGGGCACTCCACCCGCGTGAGTCAAAGCAGGAGGGGGGGGGTGCTGAATTGAGAGCCAAAGGGGGCCCCTCTTTTCCTCCCTCCCCCACATCAACCACCTGCCCTCAGACTAAAAAGGGTGCAAAAGCAATGGAGAAGAGGGACCAGTACGGAGCATCACAAGCAAATGCTGCAGCTGAGCCACTGACGTTTAACACTGTAATGGGCATGCGGAGCACCCCGCCCTGCCACTTCCCAGGAGCTAAGCCGGTGGGAACTGGAGGGACTGGGACAGAAGTAGGAGCCAGGAAAAGGGTCCTTCCCTCCCCCCGCCCCCCGGAAGGATGGGGCCTTTCTGGCTTTGGGTAGGGTTTGCCGGGGGGCGGGACAGGGGAGGGCAAGGTATGGGGGGGCCACTCCCCCTTCCCCAGGTGCCCGCCCACTCCCACACACAGGTTTCGACCCTTCTGGTGCCTCCCACCACCACCACCCACCCCCAGGCCTGGCTGGGCTGAGGTGGGGGTACAGACTAGGCGCAGTTAGACTGTGGCACTCAGCATGGCCTCCGTCTCTGGCAGGATCTTGTTCTGGTTAGAGTCCAGGCCAAAGAACTTGACACTGAGGCCATCCACGGGGTGCAGGACAGGGACCAAGGTGATGCGGGGGAAGGTCCTGGTGGCCAGCTCAAAGCGACTTGTGCTGGCCAGCTCTACCGCCAGAACCTTCAGGAACAGCTTGGCCAGATGCTTGCCCAGGCAGGTGCGGACTCCGCCACCAAACGGGAGGTAATGGAAGCGGCCATCCTTGTCTTCACTCCGGGCCTGACCAAAGCGGTCCGGATCGAACACGTTCACGTCCTTGAACACGGGTGCCGTGTCGTGGGTGTCCCGGATGCTGTACATGACACTCCAGCCTTTGGGGATCTGGAAACCCTGGAGGCAAGATGGGGGGCAGGGGTAGAGTAAGGTGGTGAGGTGAGAGCCAGAGGAGGTCTGAGAGGGCCAAGGACTTCCTGCCTGCCAGCCCCCCAGCCCAGATGTTTCTAGAGAGCACCCTCCCTCCAGCTGTGGTCCCCCAGTCCTGGCCAGCATCCCCCCGCAGCGTGTCAGTCCCGTCTCTTGTTTACAGATGTCCACAAGCAACTTCCCATACGACAGCCTGGTCGGCTTCATCTGACCCAGCATTTGGGGCAGGGTCTCTCCCATCTGACAGAGGCACCCCGACAGGAAGGCCGGTCCTTCCCATCGGCCAGTGCCCACCCCCCAGGCGGTGTTCCCACGGGTCCCCGAAGCCCCAGCCCCGCTGGGCCCAGCCTCACATCGAGCTCGAAGGTCTGCAGCACGGTACGGTAGCCACCAGAAATGGGTGTGAAAAGGCGCATGACCTCCTTGATGACGCAGTCCAGGTAGTGGAGCCCGCTGAGAGTGTCAAGGCGCAGCGTGCCCTCGCAAGGGCAGCCGCCGCTGTGCAGGATGCCCTGGGCCCGCAGCTCCTCGCGCAGCTTCTCCAGCACGGCGGGGTGCTTCAGCAGCTGCATGATGAGCGACGTGCTGGCGCTGGCCGTGGTGGCATAAGCTGCGAAGATCAGCTCCAGGGTCCCGTCCTGCAGCGGCAAGAGGGGAGCCAGGTTCAGCTCCCCCGCCCCGTGCCCCGAGGTCATCTAGCTGCGCCCTGCCTCTGGGCCTCACGCTGCTGTGGCCTTCAGGTCAAGATGGACACAGGTCACGGGGCCGGTCCCCCGGCTGGGCAGGCGACATATGCCACAGCCCAGGGCAGAGGCACTAGCCTGGAAGTCCCCTGGGGTAGGGCTGCTTCTCACTCGCTGCCGGATTCCAGAGGCAGCCTGAGCAGGCCTCGTCAGTGCGGTGAGCTCCCAGAAGGAGAAGAACAAATCCCAAGGAGCCAGGCCCTGTGCGGGTGAGGAGGGTGGGTCTGCCCCTGGGCGTTCCAGCTGGCAGCCCCAGCCCCTTCCTCCATCCCAGGACACCTGCTGGGAGGTCAGGAGCTTGGACGGGGTTGGGGAGGCAACCTGGGCCCACAGCCATGGGGACCTGTGGTGGGATGGCAGTGAGAAGGCTGAGGGGAGGGGGTCCCCAGAAGACTCAGACCCCGCCAAGGTTCTCAGGGGAGCAAGACACCTGGGCAGTGGGAGCCCCAGGGGAAGGTCCCAGCAGGTCAGCTTGTTCTGAAGCCTGTATTTTTACAAATGAAGGCCCAGAGAAGGAAGGAACCAGGGTCCCTGACTTGCCATGGCACCACCTAATACTTCTTGTGAAAGGGGAAGGTCATTGGAGCTCCTACTGGCTCAGCAGGGGGAAAGCCGGAGTCAGACTAGGGGTAAGCACAGGCGGGGGGATGGAGAAGTCTGCGGTCAGCCCCCACGGGCACCTGGCAGGCACGCGGGGCGGCAGAGTCTAGACAAGGATGAGTTAATGAATCCCTCCTCAGGTGGTATACCCACCCTACAAAGGGGTGGGCAGTAAGTCCTTCTTGGGGCCCGGTGTGGACAGTCCGGGCGCGGGCAGCCCAGCTGGGCTTAACCAGTGCCTGCAGGCGGGGAGAGAGTATAAGTGCCACTGGCTTTAATAGGCTGGTGGGGGCGGAGGAGACCAGAGTTAGGTCTAAATCTCCCTGCTCTTCCCCAAGGGCTGAGGCTGCCCTTCTGGGGACCATGAAATGCACCGAAATGGTGAATATTGGGGGTGGAAGGGGGTGAGGGGGCCCACAAAGCCACTGACACCGAGTCTGTCCCGAGGTTTCTAGAGGCCAAATTTCGGCATCTTTACCTAAATGGTAGAAGAGATGGCGGGTGGGATGGAGAGTGTAGAGCCCAGCTGCTGTGGCGACCCACTCACTCCCAGGACTGGGCAGCCCCACCCATAGTGGCCGCTTCTCGTCCTCCCCATCACACCACCCACACTAAACAGGCCGGGATACAGCCTCTTTTCTGGTTGAGTCCCCCAGCCCCGGGCAGTGGTGGCCACCACAGCCCCTCAGAGATGGTCCCTGGGGGAGGGGAGCAGGATGGGCAGAAAGAGAACCCGGGGTGCTCATGCCACCCACTGGGGAGGCCGCCCCCACCTTCAGCTCCTGCATGGTCATCTCCTTGCCGTGCTCCTTGCTGCTCTCGATGAGGATGTCCAGTGCATCCGAGTAGTCCTTGCCCTGGGTGCACTGCAGCTTCTCCCGGATCGCCTTTTCCAGGCCCTTCTGCAAGATCTGCCGTGCCTGAATGCCCTGGGGGGAGAAGGGGGCCAGCTGGTCACCAAAGAGGAAGGGTAGGCTCACCAAAAGCCCCCTCCCAAGGCCGGGAGGGGCAGGGAAGGGACTCCTCTGAGAACTTCCCATCTAAGCTGCTGAGACTGGCGGGTGAAGACTCCACCCCCGCCCTTCTGCTGACACCTCCCCTCTGTCTGTGTGACCGGTGGGTGAGTGACTGAGTGGTCAGTCAGCCTCTCCCCCAAAGTGGGCTCGTGGATGCCCATCTCCTCTCCTCCCAGGCCCTGGGTGCTCACCCGCCGGTAACCGCTGAAAGGCAAGTCGACGGGCAGGGAGAAGACGTTCTCCACAAACTGCTGGTAGACTTCAAAGAGGTGGCCAAGGTCCTCTTCAGGGATGCTGAAGCCCAGCAGCACACGGATGGCCATGCGGAAGGTGAGCTTCTGCGTCTCCTGGTACACGTTGATGGCCTCGGGGCGGCTGCTCCAGGCACGAAGCGTGTCCTGGATCACCAGCTGGATCTTGGGCAGGTAGCTCTGCAGGGCCTCGTGACTGAAGATCTTGGAGAAGACCTGGAGGGCAGGGGGCAGTTGGCTGGAGGGGCTTGCGCCTGCCCACACACTCCCACAGGGCCCCACCGCAGCATGCACCCAGGACTGCGGTCACAGAGATGCCAGGTGCTCACTCCAACCGAGCCCCACTTTCCACCTCCAGACACAAACCCTCGCTGGCGCCCCTACTCCACACCCCCTCCTACTGCCTGTGCCTTGGGGCAGAGGCAGGGGAAGGACAGGAGTAAAGCACAGTTCCTGGGCACTTTTGTTCCAAGGCGGGACCTTCCATGTCACTCATGGGAGATCTGAGCTGTCCTCTCCTTTCCTGACCCCCAGGAAAGCATGAGCTCCACACAGTGGCAAAGCCCCGGGTACTAGGCAGTCCAGCTGCTAGTAGGTCTACACAGGAGCTGGCCCCTCCACTGCAGGGACCCATTCCCAAATTCCCAGGCAGAAGTGCCCGGGAAGAGTGGAACACAGATGCATGGACTGGACAAGGAAGAGGCGGAAAGCAGTAGGTGGCTTGTCTCCACTGATGGAAGAACAAGAGAGTCTGAGGCTACACAGTAAGCAGGACTTCCTGAGACCCCTCCTTCCCCCCACCACCACCAAATTTCTCTCAGTCCCTGGGAAACACCTAATGAGTGGAGATCCTAAGGAATCTGTTAATAGCTATGCCATCAAAATGTCTTCATTGTGGCTGAGTCTGGAGGCGGGGGAATGGGGGCAAGGTTTTCCACCCCCAAAAGATCACAATGCCCCAAAAGATCAAAATGCCCAACGGAAGCCCTTTTAATTCCTTGCATCTCCCTGGTCCATTTTAAGTAGCCAGTGAGTCCCTATTTCCACCTTCTCTTGCTTTCCATCCTCCTGCTTCCTCAGTAACCCCCTCCTGCCCCCTCCCTACCCAAATGGCCCAGCACGCAGTTTCACGCTGCTGCCCATGGCCCACAGGAGAGGGGAGGATGTGAGTTTATTTACTGATACCTTTGCAACTCACTCAACCAACATCCTCTATCCCCCCCAGGGTCCGGAGCAGAAGAGGGGCACCCCCACCAATACCGAAGGAAAGGTCACTGGGGAAGGCAGAGAGGGGAGAGACAGCAGAGAGGAAGGAGACGCATACTCCTCTGGCTCCCCTACCCTGGCCCCCCGCAAACCACACACACGCGCTCACCCTCCCCTCCTGTCCCCCAAACACAACCACCGCACAAACTGTAAATGTGAGAATTTCCCCTGCAGTCAGCTCGAGGAGGAAAAGGTAACATTTTCCTGGCCTCAGCCCTGCATGGCTAATGGGAGGGCTGGTTTGCAGAAATAACAGTGCTGGCCCTTCAGTGGCCCAGCCAGGCATTCACAATAGCACTTTCATTCCCAAATTCCCGGTGGGCAGACGGAGGGAGGGAAGGAGGCCAGTGAGGGGCAGAGAAGCCAGCACTGTTTGGGGCTGCTCCTGCTATTAAGGGACAGCTGAAACGTAGAAGGATGGGAAGTGGCCAAGGGCAGCCCAGGTCTGAATGGGTCACTCACACCTTACTCAGCTGTGGGGGTCCCAGGAACTTCCAAGGGAGACTTCAGCTGCCCCCTCCCTTCAGAGGGTTATGGATACAGGCAGTGCTCTCTGCCTCAGCG